GCGTTTGAGGCACATGAACGCGCGTGTTCGATTTGAGAATTTTACCTGCAAAAAACATATAATTTACCACAATCTATTTTGAGGCAAGTTTATTGTAGCATTCACTTACTTGTGCCCTCGCGTAGATCGTTGTTGGCCTGCACACCGCGTTCGGTGGTCTGCACATTGCCCGCATCCTGTGTTTGCGTCGCCTTGTACAGCTGCGTATCTTGCGCCATGGCGCGCTTCGAATGCGCCTGTATTGCCAACTTCACCTGATAGAGATCCTGATTACGCGTGCTGCCACTAAAAGTGAACGCCTTTGAGACCTGCTTGTTGCGCTTTAGATCCATTGGTTCAGTCAGACGCGCCAATGTTTGTATCTTTTTACGCAAATCTAGATCCATGCGCTGCCAAGCAGTCACGCGCATGGCGCGCGAACACTGCCGTATAAGACACTGCTCGACGGCGGACAGTATGGCGCTCACCAAACGTATATACTCGGAATCCCAATCCAAANTTTCGTACGAGGTTCTCACAAATACCACCCCAGCGGTAGGTCGCCAACTGCGTCAGCAAATTATCACAGTCGAGCACTGTGTCCAACACGCTCTCCGACGTCTGTAGGGTAAGATAAAGAATTGTGTTTCATTTATTTGGCAAATTGGGAGATACATTTAGCGAACATTTATTGGATAGGTTAACATGATGATAAGGAAAATGCAGCGTCTCTTCGCCGCGCTACTACATAACTCATAATTGTTGGTACTGTCGATCACTGATCGCAGACCAAGATAAGATCGGTGGGAGAACTCAAACAATGCAATACAATTGTTTGTTTATCGCACACAGTTTCGGTGACGATTGCGTATTTCGGCTGAACAGTACCTATCTATATTTTCTTAGCCGATATGCACATACATTTTTATTTAGTATGCGCAAGTATATATTCTTTTATCATCAGCGATGCAAACATCAAGCCCAGAACATATGTAACAACACTTAATCTAAACGCTGCAAGCGATAAGATAAGAGTTTCTGCGAAATTGATTAAATTGCATTAAATTTAATAGCAAAACACAAGTTCACAAACTAAAAAAAAGAGCTCAAGGTTTCGCAAATTAAATCAAATTAAACGCTAAAATGATTTTTGAATTTTCGGCTCGTTGGTTGATCGATGGGCGAGCGAGCTTATGACTCGAATTGGCCCAGCGGCTTAGGAAAATTGGCATTGTGTAGAGATTTGGGAATAGTACGAGTCGAGTATTCACTTTTCATGGTGGTACCGGCGTTTCGTGCTACCCTCCAAACAAACTTGCCGCATTCAGGCCGACTACTTCGCTTAAACAAAGCTTGTGTACACTATTCACAATTCTATTTGACGAAAATGGTGGGTAGGCCACCTATGGCAATCATCAATTTCCATCTCTGCATGGTTGTGAGACATAAGTCAGACTACGCGGAGCATGTTTTGGGCTGTCATTAACTTATAACTTTAATGAGTCCCCCTAAATGACGCACATAGGGACATTTTTCCACATGCAGCTGTGCACATAAACTTAGGTGATTGAAAGATTACCAAAGGCTTTGAAATCGAGGATAAAGGAAGAGAAGCCAGATTGAACATGCTTTCGTATGGATCTCAAGAAAATCGGAGACACACCTCTTTAACTGAGGTTAGTTCATGAGTAAAAGAAAGTCCAAGAAAATGTATATGGACAGATATGGTTTTGATCTAAGATATAATACCAAACGTTTCATAGGGCAATTAATAATCGGTACATTCGGTGACAGAAAAAGCCTGAGTAAAAATGGACTGAGGACTCATAACAGGGTCCAACAGGGTCTTGAGCCTTAGAGATAGTGGAGATATGCTAGGTAGGATTAGGTTGAAATAACTGGAAACTACTATACCTACTCATATCTGGGCGAATTTCTTTCGATGTTATGAGCTCACTTGGGTAGCTCCTTTCCCAATCCCTTGGCTGACGCTATGAACTTTGCCAAACTGATCTATCCCCGGGATATATCTGAAAGATTTTATTCAAATAATGTACATTTTCTACTTATTCAATGCTCTTGGAACTACGACTAGAGATGAGTACGGGACAAAAATTTCAATGCCGTTCCCGCCCATCCCGAACAACTTACAACTTAAAAGAGTTGACAACTTAAAAGAGTTGCCTTTAATAAATGAAATTCGTAAAAGAATCTCCAATAAACTTACCATATAGGCGACAATTTGCTGGCGACAGCGCCCCAGTATATCCGCTGGTAGCTGAGCAAATTGACGAGTTGGCCAAACCTTCATGTAGTGGCGGCAAGTCCAACGCAAACATTTGCGATACAAATCATCCAGCGAGTGAGTCAATGCCACAGGCAACACCTGCAGTATGCCATCGATACAACCCGAGCATGGCTTGTGAAAATTGTGACAATAATTCGTCTTCAACGCATGCGCCGTCACCTCCTTCAAGCCCTCCAAGCCGAGCAGATCAGCCAACGCTGCCAGTTCCATCAAACTAATGCCGTCTGGTGGATGCGAGGCACCCGAGTAGATGTGACACAATGCAAAATGTACAGCCGAATAGGAGTAACCTTGCAATGAGACGACACTCTGCGCACCACTACCAGCCAACATAGCTGCAAAATACTGACAACGCGAGCGTAGAATACACTTGTGCGCCTTGATGCGGCGTCCATGCACCTCCACAATCATGTCGGTGGCAATCTCTTGCAGGAACATTTTCAACAAATCCTCGCCCAGTCTACGCGGTTGCCGACACGATATGGACGATTCATCCATGCCGGAACGACTGAACGACGATGCAAGACTGGAATCGCCGCTAATATCGGTCTGTATATAGTCCATTTGATCACAGATGATGTCATTCGGCAGCGAGTTGGAGAATTCCTTTGAGAAGTTGGGGAAAAGCCGCGACAAGCTGCGCAGATTCTCTACTGAATTGGTTATGCTGAGGAAGCTGTTACCTTGCGAGCGTGTCATGGTCCATGAATGGGGGCGCGTTTTCGAGTCGTCGCGGAAGAGCCGATTGATTTGGCGATGATTGCCGACACTCTTGCTCATCGACTCGGGCGAATGCAGTTCGAACTTTGTCGGCTTGTCCATGTCAGACAGCTTAACGAATGTACCCTTCTCCACTTCACCGTGTTCATTTACTGTTTCGAGTAGCATTTTCTGTTTCTCTATGGTGGCATGTAGACTCTCCATTGTATGGCCAGCGGCATTTTTCTTAGGCGAAGACGTCTCTTTGGTCTCAATTATGGTTTCCATTATAATAGCTGACGAGCGATTTGAGGGTACTTGTTGCAATTGCTGCGGTTGCTGCTGTGAGGCGGCTTCACGCATGGCTTGTTCTTCATCTTGCTGGAAAGTCAAGTCATCGGTGTCAGTGGTGGACGCAGGTGACATGTCTTTCGATAGTACACCATCCGTTATGGAAGCCAAACTACTTTTGTCAAATGTTTCATTGATTTGTACATCGCGGCGTCGTCTTTTTACTCTTCCGCTGTTATTAGCGCCTGCGCCGGCATGGAAAACTTCATCATCCCGTTCACCGCCTGATACCGAATTGCGCGCCGAATTGTTTGAACAGGTGCTGAGTTCCGACTTAGATCCCGTGTATTCGTCGAACGGCGATAAGGAGCTGTCGACCGACAAAGAAGATGTCTTCGAGATCAACGGTATTTTATCTATAATACTCATCAGACCATTGCCGCCGTTCTCCTTCGACTCGCCGTACGCTGTAAGGCTGATAGAGCGCTTGTAGTCGCATGCCAAACCTTCCTTCGAAGGATTATTTCCCCAGGAATGTCTCTTGATAGCGTCGTTTTGTGCGCGCTGCTGATGTGAGATGCGTCGTATGGCTGCTACAGTGATTGGTGGATCGAGATTACATTTATAGTCCAGTGACTTGCTTTCGCCACACATCTCACTGTCCGGATTCGCCTTCAAACTGCTGCTCTTTGCCATCAGCGTTTCTGTAGAGCTGGCGCTCGAACGCATCACATCGTCCGCGCGACGCTGAGCGGCATGCGAGCCATAAGAGCTTGAGAGTCGTTGGGCTAAGCTAAAGGGTTCTTTTCTAGACAAGCCACCTGCCGGCTTCTTACTTTCGCCAATATCAATAAACATACTGAAAATATTTTTCTTATCTACTGCCGGCTCTTCTGTCTTCGTTTCGGCATGTTTCTCTTCATCGGCCGACGCATATTCACTTTTTGATAGATTTACAAAGAAGCCCGCCGCCTTTGGCGCCGTATACGATTTGCTCATTTGTGGCTTCATTGGTTTTTTACTGAGATCATCGGTAGAGGGCTTTTTATCCACATCTTCCAGGGATACATAAAATCCACAACCACTTTTGTGCGAGCTTGTGGAATCGGAGCGTTCACGAAATTTGCCTGCAGACACCTCCATGCTTGAAGTGGAGCTGGTACTTTTACGCCGCTCCGGGCGACAATCGCTCATATCTACAACCCATGACGCAATGCCGGGTATGGGCTTACGAGTCTTCGGTCGCGAACGCATTTCAACCTGCTCATCATCGTCATCGCCCAGCGGACGTGTTGGCTCAAAGTCCAATGATGCAAAACCACCCGAGACGATGGGACAAGACTCCAAACGTCGCTGCACGGGCGGGCTCTCGCACTGCTTGGGCGCGAAGTCTTTGATGGATGCACCACCCGATATGATCGGATTTGCTTCATCGAACTTGGAACGTTTTGGCGTGCGGGGCATTGGTATGGGCGAGTCTGTGGCGTCGCTGCAGTATGCGCCAGAGTCGCGTTGTTGTGACAACGAAGATGACATTGTATAATCTCGATGTATGGAAGAATTATTGCTGGAGGCATTTTCTATGTGAGCTATAGAATTGTGCGGCGTGTCTGGTTGAGCAAATGTCTGATGCAGATGTCCATCATAGTCATCGACGTGAGGCCGACTACTAAGGCTAGGGCGATGTTCATGTTCGGACCAAACTAGGCTCGGCGCAGGACTAGACGATGAATAGTCGGTGGTGTAGCTAAGATCGCTGTGCGTGGCATGCACTGCGGTCGGATGTGCCACACTGGTGCCGGCCGAGCCGTGCATGGGGAATTTCGGGCTCACAGCCAATGGATGAATGCTGAACTGTTGCAAGTTGTGCTGGAAAATATATGGGCCACGCTGCTTATGCTCTTGCTCTCGACGTAGTTTAACAATTTCCGATGAGTCAGATGAGTCGGCATCAGCCGCTAAGGAAACCGAAGCTTCGGTGGCATCCTCATGCGTGGAAGTGTTTTGTTGGGGTACAAGTTGAGCGAGTTTACCAATGGATTCTTTGGTTTCGGCATTTGGTGGTGCCTTCTGACTTTCGTGCTCGCGCTTCCACAGTTTCTCCTCGTCCGAAAGATTATTAGTGGATGTGGCAGATGCGGCTGACATTTGCTTGTGCGGTGAGTCTGCACCAGAATTTGAGCTAGAACTTGACTTTGACAAGTTAAACGTTTCTGCCGAGCTCAGGTAAATCTTTAGATTTCACTTTGCACTTGGCAAATGCTTTATGGAATGATTCAAGTTTCTTGGTAGGCGAATCTTCGTCTTCCTCCCTTTCCGGCTTTGGCTCCTCTACACACTCCTCAGCATCTTTAGCGTCCTCGTTCGATTGCTGTCCATCCAAACTGGGAAATGAGAGCACTTCATCTTCGTCACGCAGCGATGAAGCATCAATGAAGCAAGCGCTATGCCCCGACGAATTCATTGCATTCTCTGCGCCTTTCCAAATCACGCAACAACGAATGCGTACTAATGCCGGTAAAGAGTGAGCTGGTGTCGGCCGGTAGGTAGGGCGATATATCAGGTTCTTTTAGTAAATGCGCTTGTAAATCAGCGGCGCCGCATTTGTCACGCTCTTTCGGTTGTTCAAATGGCATTTGCGACAGCTTGCCTTCACCCTGAAAGAATTCAGTAGCTAAATTAGACATATTAACCTCCGAGGGCTTGCTCCCAGACGCAGTGCTGTTGGTGCTGTTGCTGCTGGCAATGGGAACGCCTGTCGCTACGGCGGCTGTTGACATTACGCTGCCGGCCGCAATACTGCTCGCAGCGTGTGGGAACACAGATTCCCATGAGCCAGTCTCTGAAGAAATCGACGACGTTTCCATAATCACAATTTCCTCGTTTTGCCGCTGTTTCTCCTCCTTCGAAGTGAGCGAATGCAAAGCGCCACTTACAGCAACGCCTGCGCCCCCATTGCTGCTCACCTTCAAGCGCGCGACGGGCGTCGGTACAGCTGTGGGTAAATGTGCACCTTCAAAGGCTTTGTTGTCGTACGGAGTCGCTGCGCCACTGCCAACACTATCATTGCAGCCGCCAGCAGCGTGCACGAGCGCGCCATCGCTGGGATTACTGCGATTGCTGCTGGCATCACCACAGCCGTCGACGTCCGCATCGCCATCGCCATCGCCACAGCCAACGCTTGTGCTTGTGCTTGTTGCACTGCTGACTGGCGAGAAAGTGTCGCGCTCCTCATCGCCTAAATCGACCTCACACGTCTTGGTGGACGAAACGCTGCTCTGACGCGGCAACAAATCTAAGGTAGTGGGCATATTTGCGCGTCGCACTTCTTCGCTGTATTGTGGTGGTGAAGAGGTGGTTGTGGATGAGGTGCTGCTGGCGTTGCCGCTGGCAGCGCGTTGTGCGGGCATTGGGCGCGCATGACGCGCGGGTGCTACCGGTGCCGGTAGCGTAGTCAAATCAAGGCCATTGGCAGTCACGCTGGGACGTTGTGCTGCTGTTGGCGTGTGTGTCGAAGGTGAAGGTGCCGCGCTGTCCATTGTGGATGAGGCTGTTTGTTGCTCGCGCTTCGCTTCAAAAACGCTTTTCTTTTGCCTTTATTGCCTTTTTTATCTGCTCAATGCTACTATCTAATGCTTCATTAGGCAAATTGTGGTGTTTGCTGCGCTAATGCATGCACCACTGCTGCTGTGTTGCTGTTGCTTATTGTAGCAAACTGATCTGCCCGACGTTTTGCTCTAATGCTTCCACACTTTACAGTCACGCTTCGGGTATGCTTTTGACTTTTGTCGCCGCGCCGTGAATTGAATGCGTTTTTTGTTTTTTTTTTTGTTGCCTAATAGTGGCTTTTTGTTGCTACTTGCAATTCACCGACAGCAAAAAAGAAACCATAGAGGGAAAATGTAAAAAAAACACACTCGATTGCAATTCTAAATGAAGTGTTTTTCCCAGGCTCTAGCGCTGCAGCCGGTGGCTATGAAAAATGGCGACTGTCTATTGCGTTCAAATTGCAATTTTTATACGCCTCGCTGCTGCTGGGTGTTTTTTTCGGACGACTATGAATGCCGTTTGTACTGTGTGTTTATTGTCTGCCACAGGTTGGTCGTTTTGTATTTCGTTTAACAGAATACTTCTATGTAGTGAATGTCTGCCCCGCTATGTCGTTCTGTTGTCTCAAATTGCAGCAATGCAAAACTAACTGCAGCCGCGAGATCTATTAGATATACTTCTGTATATATGTACAAAGTGTGTATGTATGCGCGTTCTCTGTTGCTATGGCGGCTTTCCTTTTGCCACAAAAACACGCTTCCTGCTAAGCGTTTTTTTTTTGTTCTGTCAACGCTTCTCTAACTCTACTCTAAACTATTCTACTTGCAACTATGCCTTTTGTCGCCGCCTCACACACCCAGAAATGCGAAAATTCTTGTTATGCAATTATTGCAGTTGACAATAGGCGGCCTCTTCTTGTAGTGCAAGTTTTTTTCCGTTGCCGTTCTATGTTCTTTCGCGCCGTACGACACTCAATCAGCGCTGCCGTCCAACCAACAAAAAACGGCGCTGCGGGCAACTTGTAGTGACAACTGCGTTCCAGCGCTAGATTACAGTGTTTTATTGCCACTCCTGTACGCGTTGTTCTTGTGTTTGTTTTTGCAGTAATCGATCGTTTTTTCCGCTGCACAATTTAATTGTGTTGCATAACGTTGGCAGTTTTTCAAGTAAATTGCTGTGCTGTGTTTTTTTTTTGCATCCGCCGGCTGTGCAAATTTTTTGCTGTCACCACGTACGTTTACTATTTCACAGCACTGTAGCGCTATTTCCTTTGCTGTTTACGTTTTTTTTTGTCTTCTTCTCAAAAGAAGTTTACAGCTTCGCAGCTGACTTTTTTTATGTAAACACTTTAGACAAACCGGTGGACTGGTGGATGAGTTCCTGCCCAACTTCTAAATGTCCACTTTGAAGAGAGCCAGATACTTGCTGCTTCCTACTCCTTTGTAGCGCTACTGATTATGGTGTTTATAATGCAACAACAGCAAAAAACATGAGCTGCAGTGGCAACACGATTTCTTCACTGTCTGTCTGTCTGTCTGTCCGAGCTGTGGGGATTGCACGTTTTTATGTTGCTGCTGCTGCTGTCACTTCTGTTGCTGCTGTATTTGTTGTTGCTAATGCTACTGTATTCCTTGGCTGCAGCTTCACTACAAAATGTTTCTACTTGTGTTCTCAATATGCTGCTATTGTTATTGTAATTCGTTTTAGTTTCTTTTTTTTTTGTTCACTCATTTGTTCGTGAATTCACTTTGATGGTTTGTTGCCGGTGCTTAGGTTGTTTCGAGTGCCGTTCACGTTCGTCTTGCACTTTTGTTGTTGTCACTATGTGTTGTTGTTGTTGTTGTTGTTGTTGTTGTTGTTGTTTGTTTTGCTGCTGTTGATAAACTACCGTCAACATTTTGCCGTTGTTGTCGCTGATTTATTACATCTGCTGCACTTTTCAGGCGCTACCGGCATCGGCATCGGCATCAGCGGCGGCGGCGGCGGCGGCGGCGGTGTTGTTTATTTCTTCAAATGCCATTGTTGTTGCTATCGCCGTTGCTCGTGTTCGTGCTCTTAATGCTATTATCGCTGCAGTTTGTTTTTTCTTGCTTGTTGTTTTTGTTTCGTGTTGCAGCCGCGTTATTAGTGTATAATTAACCTGCAATGAGTAGAAATAAACAAACAAACAAAAAAGTAAATAAACAACTAGTATTTGTGAAGTTAACTTAAATAATCAACAAACGCCTTGAACGGCAATGGAATTTTGAAAATGGAAATTTTAATAAAATAAATGCATTCATATAGAAATATGTGTGTGTGTGTGTGTTAAGATGATGAATGCATTTTAAGTTAAGAGTGCATTGCAGATTTTTTTTTACATTCTAAACAAGTTTGTTTTAAATATGTAACTTGTAAGTAGGTAATTGTTATGGGTGGAAATTCCATTGAGCAAAAAAAATAAAATATCTAATTAGTGCGAAAAAAGAATTAGCAATTCAAATGCAACTTTCTCACTTTTAAATTTATTTATGAATATTTACAAATATTTGAAATGGAATTTAGGTGAAGCCAGCAGTTGGCACAGGGCTTAAATTTTTCATATTTAACTTTTAGGGGCATAAATCAAGAAAAATACGAAAAATGGCGTGATCGATTTATTTTAAGGCATACAAACATAACCTCAAAAATACCATAAAAAGCGCACCACTGAATATTTGACTGCGAAATTTTTTTCCATATCTTTATAATAATATTATAAGGGAGCACACAAAATGAGGGCGCAATCAGTTTATTTTAACGCATATCTCCCGCAGAAACCTAACCGCAACAACGGTATCACGCACATTTTCCAAAATTTCATAATAATGTTACTTCTTTTCAAAAGATTGTTGTTGGTATCAATTTTGTGTAAATTAGCGTCCTTAAATTTCGAAATATCGAAGCTTCAAGCATTTCGGAAATGTACTGTTATATAAAAAGTTTGCGTGATTTTAGTCCGCCGCTCTCCAGGGCAGGACACTTTTTAAAATGCAAAATTCCAATTTATTTACATAATGCGTTAAATTGTATTTTGACCAAAAGTTGAGCACTAATTTCGTGACGTAGAAAATGGAGACGTAGAAAAATTTAGACTTGGAATCAATCATTTTATAATCATATTAATCATATAACAACTAGTATTATTAATTTAAAGTTATTCCTATGCAAATTCATGAAGCATTCAATGGGAAATTTCGTATTATTTGTTTACTAGCTTTTTTATTATTAAATATACATACATATGTATTAATCAATAAATGTTTATTTTATTTTAAAGCGTTCACCCATCCATACGTAACTAACAACGCTTGAGTAAATTCATCTTAATGGATATTTATTTTGTCATGGTTTAGTGGAAGGCTTTAGTTTCACAAATCAATCACTAAGTGCTCGAACACATTTTACGACTTATTTTACAAACTGGTCAGCTGAAGAAGCACGAACCGTTCAAGCGTGCGAAAGTGATTTTGCAAAAAAAAATTAAGGTTTTTGTGGGAAGAAATATTAAGATGTTTATGATAATTGGCCAAAATATGTTTTCAGAATTTAGTTTAATAACTTAAAAAAAAAGAAAATGCATAGCATTGTGTTCTATGTCTCTAGGTGGTGGATGTCACAATGGGAATTCAAAAAATTACTCACTAACGCCCAATTCCCACTAGCCATAATAGAATAGAAGGAATTCATGAGCCGATTTTTTTTTATGGGAGGCGAAACTAGGACTAATCACAATCGATCTAAGCAGTGACATAAAAAAGGTGCAGTCCCGCCAGAAGCTGTCGCAGTCAGCAGCTGAGATAGGGCTTTTTTAAACCGAGGTCTGAGATAGGGCTTTTTTAAACCGAGTTCTGAAATAGAGCGGTTTCGAACTGGCTGCCGAGATTGGTCGATCATTCCACTCAGGTTTTTTTTTCTGATTTATTTTCACAGAACTAACTACTGAGTAGAAAAGTATTTAGTTATGTACTTTTACCTAGAAACGAGATACAGATTCATTAAATACTGGATACAAAAAATGAATTTCGAGAAGACCCGAAAAATTCGAAGTATTCCCAAAAATATTACACGAAGAACGATATTCCTGCAGTATTCTTGCAAGATCCCGAAAAGTAAAACACGAAGAATCCTCTCACTTGCTAATAGACAAAAATACTGAATCAGTGGTGCAATAAAACTCTTCAAATCAGAGAATGTTGAAAAATAAATAAGACATTCTTCAAATGTAGTTTATCAAAAATTTATTAAGAAAAATGCCTCAAAATACGATATGGTTTGCTAAATTAATTAGGGCCAGAATTCAAAAATGAAAAGATGGTTTAACCTAATGTGTACACACTCAAGTCTATAAGAACACATGAACCAACAAAAACAACAAAATTATGCAATCATGCTATTTATGCCATCTATGCACCCCGCTAGACAGTATGCGACGGAGCGAGAATACCCCTTATATATATATTTACTTGCGATGAGTAATTTATGCGATTTTGTATGCATAATTGAGGTTTGCCTTTTAATTGTGGTTACTCAGTTTCCGATAATAAATAAATATTCTTTGTTTTAGCTTATAATTTTTTGCCAAAAAACTGTGTGTATTTTGTGAAGTTCTGAAAATTAAAACATAACATAAATCAAAAGAAATAATTCGATGACAGGGGTAATAACTTCCTGCTACTAAAGTGCGCAAGAAACTTCCTACATACATACATACATACATTTACGTGTGCATACATTGTATCTGCCTTTTTCCGATGATGAATATGCTCATCTTTAGCAGTCACTTCCCAAACGTTTATGAAAGAAAAAATTATTAATTTTATTTTTCAATGCGAACAAACAAATGCGAGTACATAATAAATAATTCGAATTTTTTTATTTTAGTTTTTGGTTAGCTTTAAGTGGCTACGAGTGAGTGAGTGAGCCTTAAGGGCGAAGTGTCGTCGCTCGAAGTCGAATATGCGAGTCATAACTCAATGCTAAATGTGCGAATCGATTACAGAATATGCCACCAGACCTTTCCGGTTCGTTTTCAGCAGCGTTAAAATAAACAAAAATAATATATGTAGGCACTTGCATACATTAGTACCTAAATATGTATGTTTGTCTGCATTTATGTGTGCAATAATACTAAAAAAAAAAAAAAAAAAAAAAAAAAATAACAGTTTACATTCCCTGGCCAATCATTACAAATACAAAGACGTTACCTAAGCAGAAAAATAAACAAATAACTTACAATGGATTTCCGCAAAGCTCATTCGGTAACCATTCGCTTCAAGCTGCACAAACAAAGGCAAGCGCCTTTGATTGGAAACTAAGATAAGCTACATATATATGTAAAGAGTTGGGAGCGTGACAGGTGATTTAAGCATTATTTGTTTAAGGCTCTTTGTATTACATATTTGCTTTTATGTTTGCAAAACTTATTTTACTTTAACTTTTTATTGTTTTGAATGAAACTAAAAAAAAAAATGTTTATAATAACGTAGGGAAAACGCGTTTCAATTGCTGGGGTAAGAAAAGTTTTCAAAACCGTTCACTATTCCGGAACTTTTTTTTTATTTTTTTTGTTATTTACAACATTTCTTTATTTATACACTCGAAATTACTAAGAGACTATCAAATTTCGAAGACTAACATCTCTTACAACACAGGAATTTCTATAAATACTTATGTATGTGAAAACAACAACAAGCAAATTCCGTGTTGTAGAAACATTTCAGCATTGCAGCATTCAGAAGTCATTCACTTCATTTGCTCGCAAGTAAAACTAGCATATTTGTAAGCTTGATGAGCGTGCGTAGGAGGTGGGCGTGTGCCGTTGTCGATACATACAACATCTATACAAAATATATGGGTCATTCCACGTCAAATCGTCCAATTGCTATAATCGAAAATTTTTGGTTTGAATGGATTTTGGCCAGGACTTTTCTTTTATTACATGGGTACTGAAGTTCTGCCAAAGGAAACAAAATTTCGAAAGTTCAAAACTTCACAACACACACACATTTTGAAAGTTTGTTTTCTGAATAACTAAAAAACTAGTATAGTTACAAAAATGGTTCCGGTTTCGTTTTAAAGTTGATATTTTGGAATACATATATAATATAAAATATATTAAAAAATATTCGAAAACTTAAAAACTAAAAAACCTTGTTTTTTAAAAAATCGCAATAGCAAAACCTTTTTNGCCAAAGGAAACAAAATTTCGAAAGTTCAAAACTTCACAACACACACACACATTTCGAAAGTTTGTTTTCTGAATAACTAAAAAACTAGTATAGTTACAAAAATGGTTCCGGTTTCGTTTTAAAGTTGATATTTTGGAATACATATATAATATAAAATATATTAAAAAATATTCGAAAACTTAAAAACTAAAAAACCTTGATTTTTAAAAAATCGCAATAGCAAAACCTTTTTTAAATTTTTGGTAAATTTTTTTATACATTACCTCTATTTTAAAAAAAAAAGAGTTTGCAATTTTCAGGGTAGTGTTTTTTTTAAGATACGAAGTTTTAAACTTTGAAAACTTGGAAAACGAGAATTTATCGCAAACTCCAAATTAAGGATAAATTTATGGCAATTTCAAAAAATGTTCGCCCTCCTCTTAGTGTTTGTGCGTAGAGGGCAAAGAGAAGGTTGCATTTTTCGGTAGAGACGAAATCGGCATTAAATAAAATAAAATTGTTTAACATAAAATTTTTTTGAAAACTTCAAAAATTCATATCTAACAAAAACATCTTATGGACAATTTCAAGATCTTTTAAGACCAGTAAGAGGTATTGTAAAAAAAAAGATTAGCCAAAAATGTAATATACATACATATATAAGTATTTGGAGTTTGCGAAAAAAAAATGTTTTTAAAGTTCAAAAATTCATATCTCAAAAAACACCATTTTAAAAAGTTTCTCTATTTTTTTGTATCAGTTTTACTAACATTTACGATATATTTTAATTTAAAAATTTTGTATTTTTTCGATTTTTTCATTTTATTAATACTGTTTCCCTTATAACCCTAAATTTAAGCTTTACAACGGGATCAGAACTATTTATATAACTACTATAATAGTTTTTGAGATATTCAAAAAATAAACTTTCCGCCGGAATGGAAATTGTGAAATTTTGAATTTAGTATAATTTTGGGAAAA